CATCTTGGTCTTCATACCTTCGAGTGTGTATATAGTTTATTGTTTGTTTATCGGTAAGTTAGTATATTGACATGGCAAATGTAACTTTGCTTCATCGACAATCCTATCAGAGAATGTGATGTGAAAAAATTGCTTGGCCTTCCTTGAAATTCACATCTACCCTGTTAATCAAGGTCACTCGTGACGATGTGGCGTAGTGGTTAACGTATCAAAATTACCCTCTGCACTGTCATGGTTAGACTCCCGTTAGGGATATTGATAAGGCCCAGGCGAGGTCATAGCTGCAGTCCACTCTGGATGAGAATATCTTTTGGGAAAGCAAGGTTATGCGAAATTCAATAGAAACGTCATCTCCACTCATATAATTGTGGTAAAATTCAACTACACTCACCTTAAACGAAATATGGTTAATACATCTCATATACATGCATAAGTATATATATGTAATTTAGTCTGTTCTTCCACTTGCCAAGTAAACTCTGCTCTGTTTGAGCAGAGTCAACCACTATGCTTTTTGATGAACGTGAGCATAAGGGTCTGTAATTTTAAACCGATTAAGCTTCGCTATGACTGATTACGGTTCTTTGAGAAATAGTAAGGTAAATAAGCAATGTTAAGACAAACTCTTTGATAAAATAAGTGAACAATAATAAATAGACCGAGGTTCATTTTTACTTCCTGTTTGTTAACACAAAGGAAGCATAATAAGAGATTGAAAATCCATAGGTAGGGAAAAGATATGAGGGGACGGGTTTGTGGAGAGGAGGGTCTAACGAGTTTTGATGGTGTCCTTGAAAAAGTAGACTCAAGGACTACAAAATACAACAAGTTTGGCGCTTTCATTGTTCTGTGAAAATAGCGTATTTGCACATACAGAGTTCAGGCGAAAGTAAGCAATTTGGATTGATTTTTCAACTTAGGCAATTCAGCGAAGGAGAATAATAAGCGAATCAGGGCTGCACAAACCAAGGGAGGTTAAATTTATGCAAACTATTTCAAAATATGTGAAACAGCTTTATCAGACCTGATTGAGCTGTAGTTTCTCCCGGATATTCTTTACATACACACACACACACACACACACAACATATATATTTATTTATTTATCATCTTTAGGCAATGCATATACATAATAGCTATACGCATGCTCCTAGGCCTTGTGCATTTCCATTGATCGGTTGTCATCTAATCTTGTTAGAAAGACTTGATCCAACCACTGTATTGGTGGAGACTTATCCAGACTGGACCTCAAACAGGCGGGTCCTTGTATGTTAGAATATGTGATGCGTGTTTTTATGATCCTTCATACTGAAGGGCATCGCTTTTCTGCGCAAGCGCTCAAGCACAGGTGGAAATATCCATCTATGTTGAACAGTTCTGGCCATGCGAAAGTAAAAGACAAAAATCATGTGAAGCAAATGTACATTCAAGGAAGGAATAAATAGAGCAAAATATTTCCCATTTTTATTAGTAATGCCTCGAGAAGGCGTTACGCGTTCTCAGTTGACCATTTTGTATGCGAATACAGCACTGTTCTGATTATGTGCCTGTTTGCTAGTCTAGCCATAGGAAATTAGGTCAAAGCAGCAACAAATCGGTCATGGCAAAAGTGATAGGAGGAAAGCCCGTTGGTATATGGAGCGATCTCAAATACAGGCAAAAATCTTTAATGCTGAGCATTGTCTATAAAGTCTTCTTACTTTCAGAATGCATCAATGTTTATCAGTTAGATTTTTGTCGTGTTCATTTAGTCCACCGTTTGTTCAAAGGTACAGACATTGATCGGCTCTGAAAGCAGAATAAAGACAAGATATTTGGGAGGCCTTACTAGTTGTGGAAGTAGCAAGAGATAGAAGAGGTGGATCATTAAAAAATATAAGATATTAGAATTAGAAAAAGAGCAAGCTGCCTTGGAGGAATGGCATGAGTAAATTTAATCGTGTATTTGATATGTATCAAAGTAAAGTATAAGAAAAGTATCATGCAGCGGATCGCACAAGACAGGGTAATCAAGAAGATTGCATGACACACCTTGTTCCATAATTCAAAAAGAATTAATACTTGTACCTAACATTCTCCGAGTGATGGAAACGACTTTAGTCAGCTTGCTTGTAAACAATTCTTGCATATGTTCCAAATAGGTGGATGTGAGATCCAGGAAGAAGACCCTAAATTATATATTTCCTCATTCGGATAGTTTCTGACTTGATCTGGCCTTATCTCATACTCTCGGTGTTATAGTCCCGCCTTCACCAAAACAACTAACTGATCTTAATCTGAATGCAATTTCCAGCCTAAAAGAGGCCACCTAGAAATTAAAAAAAGGAATAAAAAGTAGGTTGATAACAGTGATAAGTCGGCAAAAAATTACGCACAGTGATGGTAAGACAGATATTTGGGCGTAGAACGAAAGTATCATGAATGGAAAAATAAACGTAGAAACATAGATGGCAAAATTTCTAATTAAATACATAGAAATAGACTGATCAATAACAGTAAGAGAGAAAGGATAGGCCTGTGAGCAGATAGAAGGAAGGATTGATGGATAAACATTTTGACATCACTTGGTTTTGGTAAAAGTTCGTGCTTCAGGGTTGCATAGGTCTGTATCCGACTGGAGAGACCGAAGATGAAATTTACACCATGCCAGCCAAACGCAATTTCAAATTATGTGCCACCAATGGAGAGTCATAAAATAATTGGCCTGGGATTTCACCCATTATATAGAACAGATAAGCAGTGGGATAGAGAAGGATGATGAATTAATATGATTTCTGTAGATGTATTCATAAGAGTGGATATTGACAAAATTGGCATCCGCCAGAATCCAAAGGAAACCAGTAACTACCAAGTAGGCCGGGAGCTGGAGTCAACCTGCCTTGAACGCCGCAGGAGACAAACAACGGCGCCTTCTTCAAGGTCCGCTAGCCACTGTGAGACCGGAAACTGGTCCGTTGTCTCCGCTATCGTCGTAGGCACGTCTGACGTAAATCCTGAAGAGCAGGTTCCGCCAGATGTCCAACCAGAAGCAACAATAGAGGTAGGTTTAGTAACTCCGCCAAGTAAGAGACCAAGCCAGGCAAGACTGTTGACGACGCCGCCGGCTGAAGGAGCAGGACGTGAACGAATGTTTGCAGATTGGAGTGGCGGATATGCCGGTCGAGATGGAAGGTGCATAGGAGAGCAAGAGGCAGAAGACGAAGAGGAGGAGGGGGAGGAGGGGACTCCAAAATGGTGAGCGCATTGACTACTTGAAGCGGAGTTAATTCCCAGTTGGCCAGGGGATCGGGCGATGGCGTAGAAAACGTTGGCGTCAGCTGGAAGGAGAAGCTCTAAATTCGCAAATAGGCCGAAATATTGGATAGAAGGATATGAAAAAATGGATGAAAATAGGAGACAATCAGCTCTTACGGTTTTAGTCGTCGTGATGCGAAATTGGTTAATAACTGCAATGTTTGGTAAAACCGGCTTTCCTTTTCCCGATTCTATGCCCAACTGAAGCATGGTATACTTAACCATGTCTTATCATATTGCAAAATACCAATTCATATTTCAATGAAATCATTTATTTCTTCTACTTGCTTAATCATATACACCACATTATTTATATGTCTCGGTTTGAAAAATGAAAAGTGACGATGAAATAGTTTCGAAAATGACTTGGAAGAGGTTTCCAATATTATAAAAGGGTGTGCGGTTTTAGAAGTTCGTTGGCTTCGTTTTTGCAACTTGATCTTGTTGTCAGGGCGACATAGTTGAACGCACCTTGTTCTAAGTCTTCTGCCATAGTAGTTATCATAATTCTCAGCATCAGATCGTAGACCTGGTACATTCTCAGACATCATCAGTCGGCATCATAAATGAGTCTTGCCATTCTCCGCACCAAGCTACAAAC